CTGTCACTCCAAAAGCACTGAAACTCAGTGGACAAGCAGTACAAAACTGGAATTTCTTGAGACTGCCTCTGTTAATTGGTGATAAGGTGCAGGATTCACAAGATGATATATGGCAGTTAACATTGCAGCTTAAGGATATTGTTGACCTGATTTGTGCTCAGCAAATTTCCAAGCCTCAGGTTGCATATTTGAATGTTCTCATCCAGGAATATTTGGAAACCAGGAAGGTATTGTTTCCAGATAACGCACTGAGACCTAAACATCATTATTTACAGCACTATCCAGGGCTGATTTTGAAATTGGTCCACTCATCAGGCTCTGGACCATGCGGTTCGAGAGCAAACATAGTTACTTCAAAAGATGTGCCAGACAACTGAAGAACTTCAAAAATCTGTGTTTGACTCTTTCAGAGAGACATCAAATGTTACAGGCCTTTCTTTCTGCTGGAACAGTGACTCTCCCAACCTTGCAAATAAAAGATGGCTCACCATTTTATTTAGAACTGTACAGTGAGGAAGTTAAAGGTGCAGTTCTTCATTTTGGGTTCACTGAAATAAATACAATGACTCCCACAGATGTGCAGTATAATGGAATAACGTACAAGAAGGGCCAATTTGTAGTCAGTAGGAATGATGAGTCACTGGAGTTTGGTGAAATCATCCTTACTTTGGTGAAGAATGAATCTGCACTTTATTTTCTGATGAGAGTGTATCGTGGAGAATTTCTTCCACACTACCACATGTACTTTGTAAAGGATGAAACAAGATTAGAATGCAGACACATTAGTAAACTGATTGACATGTGGCCATTATCATCTTACATAATAGATGGGAATCGGTTTGTACCATTAAAGCATAGTGTTTTGGCAGTGTAAAGGCTTGATATTAATGGTTCAGAGATCAACCTTTTTTTAGTTTTCTGTATTTCAACAGATATGATGGATACACAAAAGGACATTCGTGATGCCATTCGAGCAGTGCTTCCTGGTCTTTCTCATGAGGTTTTGGCTGCTTTAGAGGATGTGTTGGAAAAACTGGGCACTACAACCACAGATGATTTCCAGTATATCACCGAAGGAGACTTATTGCCTGTGCTGAAGCCATACAGGCCAGAAGACTGGTTGCTGCATGGGCCCAAAATAGTAAGTATTTTGAGATAAAGTCTTAACTTTTGTACATTGTAAAAGTTGAAAAATTGTAACAGTAAAAAGTACATGTACTTGTATATATTTATGTATAACTTAATTTGATATGACCAGTCGATAAGATATTTCAAGATAATTGCACTTAAGCATATTGTGTATATCTTTTTTTTGATAAACATTCTTTTTTTCTTTACCAAAAAAGTTTAGACTTAATGTTTTTCAATTTCATGTGTTGATCCTTTCCAGACTCAATGGCTTCAACTTCAGGCGGGGCATCCTCCTCTCAACATTCCGTTCAATCCTCTCAATCTGCAGCCTCACTTTCACAACCATCATCTGCTGATACTTCATCGCCTTCCCTGAGCTGCTCCCCAGTTTTGCCAACCTGGGTTGACAGTTTTCAGATACCGTGGCAGAAGCTTCCAGAAGAGCTGATACAGACTTTGGAACGACAGAAAAGGCCAAGTGCACGACTTCGAAGACAAATGGTGAGGATTATTATCTCTGAAATGATGCTGATTTGCAAGAATCCTACCAAACGCAACACTACTGAAATAGCAGAAAGAATGGTGAGCAGGTATCCAAAGTCACTTAAGGATGTCATTGATGGTGACGTTATTGGACTTGGTTATCATTCCCTGGTAAAACAACTCCAGGCAAGAATTGAAAATGTCAAACGACAAGACACACCAAAGATAACTAAACGCAAGGCGGAATCAGATAATGACACTGATGAGATACCTGCTGAGCAGAAAGCCAGTGTTCAAGACGTATGGCTGTGTGAACTGGGCGCCAAAGTTTTTGCCCCTTTCTGAGACAGTAGAGAGTCAGCTTAAGAAAAAAGAAGACATGAAAAAGATGTTCAAAGACAAAAAATATGCTGCAGAAGATGTGAAAGAACTTATCAAGTCCACCTATTACACGCAACGAAAGGACATCAATAAAGGTACAAGCATCCTGAAGCTATACCAAGAATGGCCTTTTTTGTTCCATGAAACTGGCATGGCAGAACACTTCCAGCAACTTACTGGCATCAGTCTGATGGAAGCCTTCTTCACCAATCTGGACAAAAAGGGGGAGCACATCCTCAACTTCCTGAAAACTGTTTTTGCTCAGAAAGAAAAACAAGTTCTGGAGTCTCTTCAAGTTAGCAAGTGAAAAAGGTCAATCCCAGTGGTTGTACAGAGATGATTCTTCTTCTACTTGCTTTTTTTGGTGAGAAGGAAGAGCAAATGTTCCACTATGTTGAGAAGACCAGCCTTGCTGAAGAGGTTGAGATGGAGGATGTGCCAGCAACACCCTGCCTTATTGTGTGTGGTATGTATGAACCAAGTTGACAAAGTAGTTGAATGGTTCACACAGGGGCTTTTTGTGATATATATTTGTTCATGTTTTTTATTCAAAGGGTCCTCTTGCTTCTCTGCGGACTGCTTCATGTTGAGTATTGATCAGAAGATTATCAATGACCACATCACTGCCTTCTCCTGTGCCATCTGCCTGATGTTTGGCAGTTACTACTGTTTTAATATACACTACCTAGTGGGACTGCGGTCAACACTGGAGTTCCTCAAGAGGTAATTCTTCTAGTTACACAGTGTCTATATTTACCAGCAAGATGAAGTTTTCACATTATAGATCAGAATGTTACTAGTTACTGAAATATAATAAATACAAAAGACAATTGAAATGGAGGGGAAAAACTGCTAAATGATAGAAATAATGCCAGTAGAAACTGTGAAAATGTTTTATCATTTCTTTGCAGTGTTTAAATTGTATATTTTTTATGGCCATGGACACAGAAGAGTTCTTCAGTCTGTTTGTGAAGCAGGATAGGCACAAAAGCCTGTCACTGAATATTCCTCTGGCTCTGCCACTGAATCCAGCCACCACAAAGCTGGATCTCGTGATATCGTTCTCTTAAGTCATTTATAAACATAACATTAAATGCAATAAAATTTCTTTTCTTCAAGGTGTTTCTTTTCAATTAATCCGGAGAGAGGAACAAAAGTTGAGCATAGCAAGAGGAGGAAGATCTTTGCAGTCAACCCAAGAGTCCTCACACTCATCGCTGACCTTGCAGACCATGAGTGGACTTAGACCATACTTTGTGAGTCATGTGATATGATGTGTAATGTTATGTTGCCGTATGTTGAAAACTGCATTTTATTGGCATTTAAGGTTTACAATGTAAGATTTCACATCTTCATCTTCATGTTAAATCTTGCAAATTTATGTTAGGCATTTTTTTTTCTATATGTAGATAGCAGATGACAATAAAACAGATTTTATGCTGCACCACTGTCACGGCTTAATAAATATGTGGTGATTTACAAGTCAAAAAACCTGACAAACGTGAACAGTTTTAGCTAATTCAGAAAGGTTACAGTGGTGGCCAGCACATTTGTTAGAAAGTTCTTATTTCCAATTTCATATGGATTATTCAATTGAAACACTGCACCAGGATTGAAGTGATAATGTTGTGTCATATCTCTTCAAACTTTTGCACTAATGTAAGTGCTTGCTGCTTTTTGGAAGATGTGTTACAAGTTCTTTGTAATCAGTGTGCACAGAGTTGTGAGAAGTTTGTACAGCCCAAAAAGTTTTCATTAAATGGAAAAAATACAATAAAGTTTGGTTTTTGGATATTTTATGTAAAATTTACTTATACTTTTTCATGTTTTTGCCATTAGACTACACTGGTAACACATTATTTAGCTGCTATAATCGATTTGATAATTTTTACAAAGTAAATTTGCACTTTTTAATTTCACAATTCACTGTAAAAAAAAGTTTCATTTTACGGTAAAATACTGGCAGCTGTGGTTGCCAGAATTTAACTGTAAAAATTACACACTGTAAAAAAAAAAACTGTAATTTTACGGTAAAATACTGGCAGCTGTGGTTGCCAGAATTTAACCGTAAAAATTATCACACTGTAAAAAAAAAACTAATTTTTACGGTAAAATACTGGCAGCTGTGGTTGCCAGAATTTAACCGTAAAAATTACAGTCAGCTAATTTTTACAGTTGCTGATTCTACAGTAATAAATGGTGTTTTATTTAACTTTTTACTGTAAAAATGACAGTTTTTACCATTGAAATTGATCAAGTTTTACCCTAAAATTGACATTAAAACAATATTACAAATACACTGAATTCCTGTATAATTACAGGGTTTTCTCTGTATTTTAAAAAGTATACTTTTTTTGAAATTACAGACAAAACCCTGTAATTATACAGGAATTTATATTCATATTTAATAATTTAGACTTTTATTTTTACAGCAAAATACTTTCATATTTCATGGCTTTAACTATTTATAATATTGTTCTAATATAAATTTTAGGATAAAACATGGATCAATTTCAATGGTAAAAACTGTCATTTTTACAGTAAAAGGTTAAATAAAACACCATTTATTACTGTAGAATCAGCAATTGTAAAAATTAGCTGACTGTAATTTTTACGGTTAAATTCTGGCAACCACAGCTGCCAGTATTTTACCGTAAAAATTACAGTTTTTTTTTTTACAGTGTATTTAAAATAAATATGTGCAGGCTATTTTTTCACCTGGTTGACTTTATCTCTTATATTGAATTTGTGAATCTGACTTTTGTAAAACAATCACATTCTGAGATGCTGCTTCACACTGATTATTCTTAAACACAAAGCGCATATTTTCTCCATGTTTTCTGCTGCTATCAGACTTCTGTTGAATTTCAATGTTGATGCAAGTTTTGAATTGCTTTGCCTTTTCTTAATAAGATTGATCTGATGGAGCAGTTAGTTCTCTTGTGTCTATAACATTAAGGTCACAGATTTTCACCTATAAGCTCATATAATATACACACCAGCTATCAATTGTATGTTTCTTCTTCCTTTAATACTTTGAAAAATATTTTGTATTTTCCACATTTATTATGCTTTCATCAGCCACAGAAGATATGATACAATTTGCATGCATGTGTTCTTGATTGTCCTGTTGAAGCACCAATAAACTGCCTGTTTGGTGCAGTGCAGCATGGATCCCCATCAGTCCCATTTGGAAGTCTTCCTCTTCATGTATCTCTCTCCTTCACTGTCTATGGCTTCATAAAGCTGCTGGTCGTTTTCCTTCATAGCGTGCAGATAGCCCAGGTAACCCACGCTTAAGGTGATGGCCACCAGCCCAAACACCATCACTGGTTTATTCTGTAAAACAGCACAGCTCCATGTTAAAAGCCAGACAGGGTTTTTATTATCACAAGATAATAACAAAGTCCTCCTAAGAGCAGCCGTCCATGGCGCTTTTATTGGGTCAGTTTTGACGTTTTCAAAAGAGTCATGGCTTTGAAACCTGGCAGGTTTCAATCAATCAATCAATCAATCAATGGGAGTCAACCACAAAAATGTGCAAAACTGCCGAGCAAAGGAGCGACCAGCAGCAGTCAGACTCCAAGGTTTCGTCTAAAACTTGGTGAAATCGCGCTGGTATGTTGTAAAACTATCACACTTTTCTCTTTGTGTCTGTCTCTCTTTCTGTGTGTGTGTGTGTGTGTGTGTGGGTTCGGGTCTCACTGGTTTTATGAAGAGTTCAGGATTGACAGCACGGAACAGTGTGGTGGTCTGTGCTCCTCTCAGCCCAGGCGTCCTGAAGCCTTTCTCCCCGGCACTCTGCTTCCCCTCATCGGCTTCTTTTCCCAACATGTTCGCTCCAAAGCAGACGGAACTCAGCGGGAGAAACTTGAAAAAGGATCTCTAATGATCAAAATAACACCCCAAATAACATTGCCATTCTCCATTAGTTTGCCTCACAACGTTGCCATTTTTTTCTTCTTCTAGTTTTCCTCATGCTAACCAAGTGCATACTGCCATCTGCTGGATTTACACAGCCTTCCCTTTAATCCGTTTCACCTCAAAATTTTCCCAGAGATGAAAATATTCAAATCAGATCCAGTTACTGCACCACCAGTTACAAGATGAATTCCAACCTCCTAAGCTCCAGTCATCCTGTTTACAGGTGCACTATTGAGATGGGCCACCACCACTTCTTGGACCTGATCATGACTGTAGCTTGAGGGGTTTAGGTCATGAAGGTCTACACCTCTCTTGTGCTCATTGATCTATTTGACATCAGTCTATCAGTATAATTCTTTCTCATCTTTGTTTCTACTGTGAAAATATTGTCTTTCTAGTAGACCAGTGGTTTCTCATCTTGTGCTGGAACCTAATTTGGATCCTCTTTAGTTTTAAAGGGCACATCAGAGAGACAATAGTCTCTTTATCCTGAACTTTGCAGGTGCTAACAGAATCCCACATGACTGGTTAAGGGGGAGATCATCCTCTTTTCCCATGAACTGATCATAGGTATTCAAAATCAGGCATGGAAAATGGCCCACCTTCCCCTTATTGTCCATGTCTAAGTCACCACTACTAAAATCAGTAAGGAGTCATCTTTCTCATAATTACATTGTTGTATACATTGTCTAGCCATCACTAAGACAAACAGATCAAGAACCACACTCAAAATAAATCTTAAAAAGGAAGAAGTTTGGAATTGGAAGAATATGTTATGTATTTAAATAAGCGTACATAGGTCAAATGTATTGTCCCACTGGTCACTATCGTCACTGTCAACATGTTTACACATTCTGCTCACACACCAAAACAAATTTTTGAAAATGCAAAGGTGAATATCATAAGACACTTTAAAGATGATGTGCACCAAAAATCTTTGTTTAAACATACATTGCTAGCCTCTTCTTTGGGAGGTTTGATGGAATCTGTACAAACAGTACAAACGTTCAGCACTAATTTAGTTTCATTTTTATAAGGTGTTTGTGTGGGGGGAATTGATCTCTGAATTTTCTGCAATATAACAGCAATAATTTCTAAACAAAATCTGTACAAATGGAAATTTATCAGCACAAATTTAGCACAGTTGATCGATACCGATTGTTTGAAAATTTGAATTAGGTTGGAGACTCGTTGACTTTTCATAACCTCTGGAAACCTTTACTAAAATCTTAAAAAATATAGGGGCACAAACATATTTCCTGCACAGACCAACACAAACATTTGACACCAATTTTGTTTTATTTGAAGGTGGCTTGGGGGATGAGGGGTGTCACTTCACTTAGGTAGACCAACTATGCTACCTGGTCTGCACACTGTAGGGTGAGGAAGATCAAGACATTCCACTTTTATTTTTCAGAAACCAGGTGATCCATTCAGAGCAGAATTGATCCAGTATCTTTAAATTATATCACGTTTTCCTCCAAACATAAAAAACCCCAAAACCCTCAGTCGACTGTCAAGTCCTTCTCTGTTGAGAACTTCTCTAATATCCTTAGAGTCTTGGCCACATGCATTATTAAAAGTAATGAGCATGTATCAAATTGAAGAGAATAGTTGATGTTCTGGTAACACATCAAAAACTTTAGAGCAAGATCAATAAAGTCATACATCACTTTGATAGGTACTCAAGCTGTGACTAAACAGTCAAAGTAAACCACTCAGAATTTTAACAAGTGACTTTAATTCAGAAAAATGTAACAAAATCATTTTATAGGTCCACATGCAACAGCACTTAAGTTTTAAGCTCTTGAGGGCTGAGTAATCTTATAAAATACACACAAAAAAAAAAAAAATAATAATAATAATAATAATACAAAAGTGTAATGGGGCTGCTGGTGGCAGTGGGATTTTTTAAATCTATATATACACATGACAAGCAATGGTCAACATCTTCACAAACTACACACAGAATTAAGCTCATTTGTCTTCAAATTCCCACAGGGATAATTTAGACGCCATAAGTCATTTGAACATGCTTTACACTTTACAATATGAAAAAAACCCTGTACATATAGTACTGTAAAGCAGACTGGTTTAGTCCATCAAGTCAGACTAATTCAGATCCTGAGATTTAGCTATTGGATTGAAAAAAACACCTCCAAACAGCAGTCAGTCACATCTCTCTAACAGTACAGCTGGGTCCATGTCCTGCAGCTGTTTTAACATGGGCTCTATGACACCCTCAAAGGCTGGATCTAGTTTTATTTTTACTTTGCAAAGTGACTTTAAGTTCTGATGGTTGCTGAACCAGACACAGGTCTTTTTGTTATTTGAGCTAGTTTGGTTCTCACCATTTTCTACCTTAACTGACCTCATCAAGTGTTGCTCTGATTCTCTGGTCTCTTCCAAGAATTGTAAGAAAGACATTTCAAATCCCATTGGTTTAAAGGAAGCCAGGGGCACACTCTGCTCTGTCTCCTCTGGAACTATTGCAAGGCTTGGGGAGGTCTGTTTCTCTTCCTTGACCTGAATAGGCGTCGTCTTGGTTGGCCGAATGACTTTTTTAGCTTTGATAAAACTTCCACCAAACTTTCTGGGTCGCCCTCGTTTACGTTTTAGTACCACAAGTCCATCAGAAGTTTTCTTTGTTGATAACTTAGTTTTTAACAAAGTCATGGTCATCTCTGTTGGGCTTCTTCTGCGTAGGACCGGCTTTGAATACTCATATTTCCCTTCGTCGGTGACAGCATCTGTTGTTTTCTCCACGTCTGACTGCTCTGAAGTGTTCTCGGATTTGGAGTCGTCACTCCTGATGGAACGAAATTTATGTCTGGAGAACTTTTTGCAGAATATGAAGTGACTCCTGTGCTGTTCCAAGTACTTTTCTGACAGTCCATGTACAATGTAATGTTTGAGTATGCTCTTTTCAGACTTCATGACTGATGTGCAACCTTTGATCATACAAGGATACTGCAAGTGAAATTTCTTGGTGCACAAAGCAGATGCATCCACTTTAGACTTCAAGGAAGGTTTTCCATATTTGAGCCAATGTTTGCTTTTTGACTTGTCTACCTTCTTCTTGTCATGAGTCCTCAGGGGGATCTTTTTGTTGCTCTCTATATTTTCTTTGCCATTACTTATTTTGGTAATTTGGTAATGTGATGATGTTGAGTTTTGCTTCCCTTCATCCTCTTCCACTTGTTTATTTTGTAGTTTCAGCTGGTACAAGTCTTGATGTTTTTTCATCATATGTCTGAGCATGTTTGACTTTGTAGCATAAGACCGATCACAGCCTTCGATTTCACACTTGAAAACTTGTAATTGTTCAGTTTTGGCAAGATTTAGGTCTTTATGGTGCTCTTTAACATGACTTTTATACTTCCTGAAAGCAGTGAAGGTTTCTGTGCAGCCTTGGTGACCACAAGCAAACCTGCCAGGTCTTATATCAAATAATAGTGCTTCCACCTCATCATCTGTGAATTCATGCAACTGCAGATAGTGCTGGAAGAGATTGGGAATTTCTTGAAAAACACAGCAGCAGTCTTTGACTTGACATCTGAATTCTGTAATCTGCAGCAACTCAGACTCTAGCTCTTCCTTAACATGGTGCAGTAGTTCATCTGATTCCTCACTTTGGTCATTCTCCTCACTCAGGACATGCTCCTCACTCTTCACTAGTGCTGACAAAGCAGATTGGTGTACAGCCCTGTAATGGAGGATCAGATTTTGCTGGATCGTGAAGGCTGCCTCACAACCTTGATGGACGCAGCGATATGGTCTATATGGACTCAGAGCATCTTCTAATTTTGGCTTCTTCGCTTTAGACTTTCTGACAATGTTATTTTGTTTAACCACTGTTTGCATCTTGAAAGGACAATTTTCATGAGTTCGTGGAGCTTGAGGTAGGGTAGACAAATTCTGGAACAGAGAAAAAGTCTGACTTTCTGCATACAATTCAGGCAGATTTCCTTCTTCTTTTAACCATTGTTCAGTAGACATCCCTGCTTGTGCTGCCTGGGAGGTTGGGAAGGTCTGAGGCCTTGCAGGTGGAGTTTGTTCTAGATTTTGCATGGGAGCAGCTTTTAAGGAATGGATAACTGAGCAGTGATTATGACCTTGATATTCATGATTAGGTACAGCTGTGCTAGGTGAAGGAACATAGGTCTGATTCAATGAACCCTGGAGATGATGTATACAGGCACTGTTATCTAAAATTGTATGGCTAACTGTGGTAACTGGAGCCAATGGAACCTGGTTTATGGCCACAGGCTTCTTTCGAAATGCATTAGATACTTCAGCTTTCGCCAGCTTTCGCTTTTCATCCAGGTCTGCAATTTCTTTATTTGATAATTTGTGAACTGACCGGTAATGAATGCGAAGGTTTGAGTTTCGAGTAAATGCTTTTGGACATTTCTCGCACTTGAAAGGAGCATACTGTCCATATCTTTTTTTGACCTCATTAACCATCCCAATTGTGTAGTTGTGAGCTTTGGAGAGATGCCTCCATAGAGAATCACTAGAAACGGAACTAAATGAGCAATCTATGTCTTCACAAGGAAATGGTTTAACAACAGATGTTGATGGAACTGACGTGACTCCAGTGAAATTTTGGGTTTTCACCTTAGAGGATACAGGTAGGCTGCTTTTTTCAAACCCATTTTGTTTTAACGTAGTTATCAACTGATCAGGAAGTTCTCTCATCAAGTCAAGCCTTTCAAATGCACACTGAATTTCAGTCATCCACTGCTGCTGACTGGTTGATAACTCTGAAGGTCCAGGATCCAGTTCAGTTCCTGCGGTAACTGGGGGGCTTGGCAGGTCTATGAGGATCCTGGGAGTCTCTCTGAAACCAGTAAAGCTCTGGGTGTTTAGCAGGTCTTCAATTTTACCACACGATTCTGAAGTAATTGGAGAACTTCCTGTAAGGACTTGACCTTGAGGTTTTGAATGACTTGTTGCGTCATAGGACAAGTTCTGAAATCCAGAATTATTGGAGGGACTGTAGGGACTTGAGCCCGAAGTTTTTAAATTCACA